TCTCACCAGAGTGGAGCAGAGGGGCAGAATCCCCTCCCTTGACCTGCTGGCCACGCTGCTTTTGATGCAGCCCAGGATACAGCTGGCCTTCTAGGCTGCGCGCACACATTGCCGGCTCATGTCCAGCTTTTCATTCACCACCACCCCGAAGTCCTCGTCTGCAGGGCTACTCTCAATATCTTTGTCACTCAGTGTGTATTGATACTGGTGATTGCCCTGACCCATGTGCAGGTCCAAGCACTTGGCCTTGTTTAACTTCATGACTTTCCCATGGGCCCACTCCTCAAGGTTGTCAGGGTCCCTCAGGGTGGCATCCTTTCTGTTTAGCAAATCAAACTAGGACCCCTGAGGGACACCGCTTGTTACTGATCTCCATTTGGACATTGAGCTGTTGACTGAAACACTTTCAGGGCAGTTGTTCAGCCAGTTCCTTATCCATTGATTAGTCTATCCATCAAATCCATATCGCTCCAATTTAGAGCTAAGGATATTATGTGGGACCGTGTCAAAGGCCTTACAGAAGTCAAAAGCAGAGGGCATCAGTTGCTCTTCCCTTGGTCCCTTGCGCAGTCATTCCATCATAGAATGCCACCAGACTAGTCAGGCATGATTTGCCCTTTGTGAAGCCATGCTGACTTGCTTTTATCACCTCCCTGACCTCCATGGGCCTTAGCATAGCTTCCAGGAGGATCTGTTCTGTAATACTTAATTTCTGTCGGCATTGAAGAAGTCTGTTCCTGTAGCAGTGACACCACAAAGCAGTTCATCATTTTATGCTTGCAAATACCGAGTTGAGGTTTGAATAAAGCTTGCTTTTGGAGATATTTGAAATACACTTAAGCTGTGGAATTATCTTTGTCAGTGTTATAATAGAGAAGGAACGTTTTTTATTATTGTGTACTTGTCTTTCTAGAGCTTCCAGTTAGCTCTCCAATATGCCATGCAGTTTTGAAAACACTACAGCGCTGGGAACAAGTTCTTCTCCGACGTCTTGAGCTATATGGGGGTCCACCTCAACATTATATTTCGGTTCATGCTTCTGAAGATGCCCTAGCTGCTGGTCCTGCATTGCTTCGCCATAAAACTTTACTTGAACCTACAAACACTCCATTCAGGTGAGTCTAATTTCTGTAAGTACTGGCTATAATACCTTTAATATACATCAAGCATTATGTTGTTAGTGCACGTGCTAGACCTTCACATCGTTAATTATGTAATACTAGTTTCTAGACTTGCTTTAGTCCGTTGTGAACTCATGGGTACACATCAGAATTCATACATCTCTGATCCAAAGCAAGATTAGGAAAAGCAATCAAAAGTTTCTAATTTTTTAAAGTTATTTTATTAAGCTTAACGTACTGATTCTGAGTGTCTCTGTGGAAGAACTATGGTTGACAATGAAAGAAGGAATAACAGTTTGTCCTGAGAGATAGTTAAGGATGAGTGACAATGAATTAAATAATTGCCCCACCTTTGGAGGGAATAAAATTATGTTCTTATCAGTATCTTTTCCTAAAATGATAGAAGAAATATTTACTATTTATAATACCTGCATAGTTGTGACTCTGTATAATTGCATGTTCAGCCAGAAGAGTGTGCTCAGTTTCTTACATTGTCACTGTTAAATAGATTTCTGCCTTTTTAATCTTACTATCACCTGTGGTTGCAGAATCTACAGGAAGTTTATCTTTTCACTGTAAAATACTTCGTGATTGTCACAGTTTTAGTAACTTGAGTTGACTAAAAAGGAACAGCTTAACATGTCTGCTGTCTGGCGTTATTTTTAAATTACGATTTAAAGCAATTCAGGGGTTGGTTTTTGGCCTGCCATAAGCAGCTATATTTGTATTTACAAGTTTTGTTTGACCATACTGTTTCTAGGGATAAGCATAAACATTTGAAGTCTCATCTGATTGTACAATCCTTCCAATTTTATTACTGAAAATTCATGGTTGTTTCAGAGATTTTACACAGCTGATGTGTTCCTAGCAGGAAATGTTAGTCATTCACTGGCTATGTGATAGAAGCATTCATTAGCAATGAACAGAAATGATCTATGTTGTAAAGAATGAGGGGGACTAATAAGTAATCTGTATGATCTTATTGTTGTGTAATCTCTTGAAGAGATTTTTCTCACTTGTCTCAAGACAGGAGGTGAAAATGCTACATGTGGTTTTCCTTCTTCCTTTTGCACCTCCTCTCATGTGTAGGTTTGTCAGGGGAATGGTACCAGAACACTTAGGAATAGGTCTTTTACAGTGTTTAGAGACCTGTGGTTTTGCTTCAGCATTTCCTGTGACTATAGTCTGATTAGAAGATAAGGTATTGCAGTCTCTTAAAAGTATGCGCACGACGTAAATATTTATTTAAACTTTGTTCTGTAGATCTAACAGTCGTGTTGCACTATCTGTGAAGAGGCTCTGGCAGTACTTGGTTAAACAGGAAGAAGTCCAGGAGACCTTTATCAGAAACATTTTTACAAAGAAGCGATGCCTAAATGAGGTTAGTATGGTATATAAAATGCATAAAATGTTACAGGTCAGTTTATGAGCTTTTGCTTAAGTTATTTGGCTGGCTTGTTTGCTTTCTGAGTTTGCATGAGTGGATAGTATACTTGGTTATGACTCTGAGTCTACAGTACTTCATATTAAAAATCTTTGTCCACTGTTTCATTGAAAACAAAAATAATCATTCTTTGACTGTAGACTGACACCTAATACCACTTAGCAACAGTCAGCCTCTTTGTTAAAAGCTACCTCAAAAGAATGACAGACTTCAAAATTTCAAAGATTAGAAACAGTAACCTCATCAGCCAAAGGTCTGAAAGTTTGAGTTTGTCCCTGCCATAGTCACCCTGGGTTTGTCAGTTGGTTTCTATCATGTTATGATTCAGTTAATATTTCTGTCCCCAATAACTTGTCCCAGTGTCTAGCTGGATTCTAGGCTCCAGACTAAGTTACATGTTTTAAAATTGTGGTTCTGTAATGGAGTTTTGGGGTTTTCTCCATCTTTTGTTGCTCTTTTTCTTTCTTACCCCTACTTGCAATAATTCAAAAAAATCACTTGTATTATAGAAAAACTATGGAGTAGCAGAAAAATAGGAGAACAAATCTGAACAAATTAAACACGAGAAAAACAGTATTCATGACTAGTAAAGCCATGGCAGCAAAGAGTTCTGTATGAGCTAATCTCTGTCCTGTCACAACTAGAATATTATGTTGTTTGAGTATTTGTGGGTAATTGTGTTCACAACAGACTGCAGTATGTTCAGACGGAACTTCCTGTGCTTCAGTTTGTGCCCATTGCCCCTTGTCCTGTCACTGGGCACCACTGAAAAGAGCTTGGCCCCATCCTCCTGACACCCACCCTTCAGATATTTGTAGGCATTTATAAGGTCCCCTCGCAGCCTTCTCTTCTTCAGGCTGAACAAGCCCAGTTCCCTCAACCTCTCCTCGTAGGGGAGATGCTCCAGTCCCCTCACCATCCTTGTAGCCCTGAAAAAAAAAAAGTTAAAAGGAAAATTGTTCCTTTTGTCTTGTCCTTTGAAGATACACCATTTCTGATCATGTCTTATGTTAATGCAGTCATGTTGCTATACTGTATGGAAATATATTTTGCAATATTTTAGATGTGTTTTATATGTTTCCAGGTAGCATTACTGACAGCCTTACACAGCATAGCTGTGTTGGCTTTATTTTGTATCCTCTTATTATCGATAAAATATCAGTGGAGATCTCTTATTTTCCAAGGAATTTTACTTTAGAGGTGGACAAGATGCTGTTACAGTACAGAATAGCTAAATCTGTGTCTTCTGTACTGAAGAGAGTTTAGAATTCAATGATTACTGTTACTACATAAAATTCGTATGTACGTGTGTGCAAACATGCTGTTGTGTTTCGCTTGTTCTTTGTTGGGGTAAACAACAAGGAACTAACGATTTCCTTGATACTTTGCATGTTATGTCTTATCTTTATTCTTTGTTCTGTGGTTGTTCTTTCCTCGGTGAAGTCATTAGAGGAGCACAATGAAACCATGAAAAATTCTGTGGTGGAGGAGCCCATCAGCAATAAGGTACACAGCAGTGATGTTCAAATTAATTAGACCTTACATCATTATGAAGTATTTCCTTTTTGAAATGGTGCTGATTTCTCTTAAAAAAAATCTTTGCTGGCATAGCAAATAAACTTAAAAATTCAGTTTTGCAAGAGATTGGGTTAAACTAGTCTTGTTGTAGAGCCTATCTGAAACTAAATGTACGTTAGAAAGCTGGATTGAACAAGCGGCTAAGAACAATATGTATTATTAAATTCCATAGCTATGCCACGTGAAGAGCTGAGGCTGAGATCTGCCCAAGTAACAAAAATTCAGTAGGACCGTGCAAACATAGTACATACAGGAGCTTTCACCAGTATGAGATGATTAGAATACTTGCCTATAAGTGAAGGTGATTAACTGAAGTTAGAGCATTGTTAGCATGGTGCTAGTTTGCTGCTGAAAATTTTCTCTGAGCCTTAGTTTTAATATGGTGACAAATGAACCCATATAATAACTTCATAGTAACTTTCTTGAAAGATTGGTATGAGAGACTGAAAAGGTATAATACTATGCCTAGAAATGCAAAAAGATACTGTATTCTTTTACGAAACTGGTGAGAAGACAGACATGAGAACACCCTGTAATGTCCTTGGGCTACCTTGTTATTAATTATGCGATAAAGCAGTATTAGTAAGTAGATATTGGAACTGACTGGGGAAAAAGTAGTCTTAATTTCATGTGGGTTTGTTCGTCACACAACACAGATCATTTTTTTGTATCTGTTTGTCACTGCAGTTTTGTGCAGTTTTATGTACATAAGATCACCAGAGTATCAATTTTGTTTTAGTCTTAAAAAAGGTATTTTACTTTGTGGTGTATAATCAGACTTTGAAAAAGACTGTTTGCAGTTCTTTGACAGCACCATCTTACTGTTTTTCAACAAAAATAGCCATATTTGAAATCTTTTGAAGACCAGAGAATGAAGAAATTGAAGGGGAGAGGCTGAGAAATAGTAGTTCTGGAATAATTCTTTGTGTTTTGAAGAAAATACAGAATTTTATATTGCCATTTGTTTGGCACTACCATTTTTTTTTACTGTAAAATTATTTTGTGACTACAACAGATGGAGTCTGTAATGTATCAGTTCAATATTTGCAATGCTGAGCTCTTCTAGTTTTGAATGGGAGTACTAGAGTGCTGATAAATTTTAGAATTTTGTGTGCTGGCATATACCTGGATACATTTCTAAAATACAGAAAGGTAGACAAGATTCAGATACAACATTAGATCACACTAAAGAAAGAAAAAAGGAAAATGTGATAGTAAAACATTTGTGGTGCTAGAATGTGTAGATTCCAGATTTATTTAATTGTGGAGAATGCTGAATAGGTAAGCTGGCAAGGTTCAAATTTATTTTCCTGCTCAGGATCTTGTCTGCATCCTCGTTTGGACCATTTCATGAGTTCCAGTGGTGAAAAGTATTTTCTAAGAGCATGAAAAGACTTAGAATTTTAATTAATAAAAATTAATTTAATAAATTAATAAATCTTAATAAAAAAAAGAATTTTTTTTAAGAACAAAACATCAAGAGTCAATTTTTTATCAGCAGCACCGCTAAGTGTGCAGGTGGCCTTGCTGGTTTTCAGTATCCACGAAAAACTTGAGAATGAACACAGTACTGTGACTTGTGTGGCAAACTGCGCTTTCTGTGTTGCTGTGATAATCTTAAAATGGCAGCGGGAAGCTAGATGACACACAGAACAGGTTTATTTTATTACAGGTTACATTTGTCATATTTTCTTAGAATTAAAATGGAGGAAAAAAACCCCCATGAAATTTCATACAGTCCATTGTTTGGTCTCTGTACTTCAGTAAAAAGCAGTGTTGCATAGAAGTTTGATTTAAATATGCTTTACTTTTTAAATACAGATAGAAGCAGATTTGGGATACCCAGGAGGCAAGGCAAGAATAATCCATAAAGAATCTGACATCATCACTGCTTTTGCAGTCAATAAGGTGAGTATAAAGGAGGTAGGATAATCTGATTGCGTTGTACTTTCACCTGATAAACAGGTGGTAGTCTTGTAGTGAATGGGTGAGATATCCTTTGCCAGCCATCCTGGTACAGCTTGAACTCTTAGTGCTCCCTTCTCTAAAGCACTTCATAATGACCTTTTCATAATTAAACAGGTCTATGACAAATTGTCTTTTCTTCTGCTGTGCAGTGGATTGAGGGAAGTGAGAGGTTGCCTCTACTTTAAGCTTGCGTGTAGGAGTATTTTTCCTTCTCTGTTGGAGACAACCAGGAAATCATCTTTTCTTCTTCTGTTTAACAATTTAAGCCTTAGGAAGTGGAGGACGGGAGCTTGGTTGCAAGCATTGTAGTATAGTTATTTCTTGTTTATCCTCTGAGGAAAGCAAGGAGAAACTAGAGCTGCTTGAGAGAAGTGTAATATACAAATAGTGTGTGATGCTATCCCAAATGCAAATAAACTTTTAAAGGGGAAATGTCAAGTTTAGACAGTTCTAAGCATATAGATTTGTAGACATAAATGTTCGGGTTTTGTAAATTGATCAAATGTATGTTTTTGTGAGGAACTGTACCATAATCAGAGAAAATACAAAAAAAAGCATCTTTTGGAGTATTCCTTTTATATCTGCTTTTTGTGTGTGTTACTTTTTTCCAGGCAAATCGAAACTGCATTGCAATCGCATCGAGTCATGACATTCAAGAATTAGATGTTTCTGCGATCTTAGCTACACAGATCTATACCTGGGTTGATGATGATGTGGAAATAGAAAATAAAGGGTATATTGTCTATGTTTCCAATATCACAGCTTGACTGTGTAAATCAGTGTAACAAAGCACAGTATTTAATGTTGTTTGGAATCTAACTTACAATGTTGTTTCATTTATAGGGCTGATGATTTCTTAGTTATACATGCTCGTGATGATCTGGTAAACGTTCAGGGAAGCACTCCTTATACTCATAGTAATCCTGGCACACCTATTAATATGCCTTGGCTTGGTAGTACACAAACTGGCAGGGGTGCATCTGTGGTAAGTTGCTTGTCAAAGATTAGCCGTATGTACTCTTACCTGTTTCTCTCCTTCTGTCTATTCAGTGTTGCTGGTTATATTTTACAATTAGCATGTAAGTAAATGTAGTTTTTCTGTGTAATCAAGATGAGTTGGAATTTTTTATAATCATTCGTTTAATAGGTTGACATACTGCACAGAATTTAAGATACACCAACTAAGCAAGCAAGGTTTTTGCCATATACACTTTCTATACTTAAGATACATTGTTTAACAATAAAGAGTTGGGATTCAGGTGAGAAGTTGCAGCTTAAATTGCTCTTGAAGCCAAATGCAGTATCTAAAAAGTATATATTCAGGAGATTTCAGGATATAAATTAATAAAGATTGGGTAGAGATATTTGTGTGAAATACCGAGGTGGCTTTTATTTTAAGCATAATCTCAAGTTTGATTCTGAGTTCCAGACTATTCCAGTTCTTATTTAAAAGTAAATACCAACTTATGCTCTAGCACAAAGGACCATTGTATTGCATTGTATAGTAGTATGAGCCTGTATTACAGAAAGGGCATGAATTAACTAAAGCAGATTTCACTGGCAAGGCAGGCTTCAAATGGAAGGAATTGAACTCTAGAAACTACGCACCTGAAACTTGGGTAAAATGGGGATTCTTGGTTGCATGAGAGAAGTGAGGAGGGCAATAGTGCAGAAATAGGACCAACTACAAACATCTTGTGTAGTTCGAACTACACATCACGCTGTTGTTTGACTGTTTAACTCCAAAGCTGTTGTCAGCTCTGTCTTCTTGAAGTGCTGCACAGTTTTGCTGTAACTCTTCTTAGTAGCATTATGGAAGGACTTGAATCTGGAAGAAAACCAGCTTCACCAAAATCCTTCTGTTGCTGCTATTTGTTACTTTGTTCCTTCAGATACTGCTTCTGATCCTTGTTCCTATATTTGTTTTTCCATAATTTGCAGCCCATTTAGTGTAGATACAGTTCACTGTTCTTCACCATTACTGGCTTTTCAGTCTTGTATTTACTTCACTTCCATCAACAAGGGAAATTATTTGACTTATGATACTTAGGCAGTTAACGTTTTATTAGCTCTAAGGTTTTTTTGTTACTCTTCTTCACCATTTCCTGTTACGCAATTCATAGAAGGTAAGTAAGGAGACTCACCACTACATCCTTCAGAACGGTGTGTTTACACAGCTTTTACGGGAGGTGTTTCTAAGAGAGCACTGAAGTAAACAGTATGTACTGTCAGCTTTGAAACTTGAGTAATGTTCAACAGCTTGTCTTCCAAACCAGTACGACAGCAATATTCACCAGTTTAATAAGTGGTAGGTCAGATTTTAAGTTTTTTTAATTCTTCTAATGTCTTACTGTACATTAGGCCCAAAGCACCCAACTCACCAACAAAGCAATCAGTGTTCTAGCCATCAGCTATTGTTAAGGTGGAACTAGCGGTATCAAATGTCAGTAACATTGATAGTGGAAGTATTTGCATTTGATAATGATACTTGGCTGCTATATCAGAGATGCTGCACCAGAGATTTATGCTAGCATAGTCTCTCAAAGCCACGTTTCTGTAAGCATGCATTTTTCCGAAGTGTTATCCAATAGAGGTCAGGAGATCATGATGCGTGCTTATCTGTTGAATGAAGTAGTATGGTGTTCCATTGACTTCTGGGTAAAAGTTAGTAAATGTAAAACTCAACACAGCCCTTCGTTTTGATGAAGAAATAGAATGAGCATCAATAATTTTTCTTTCACTTACACAGACATAAATTGTAAGTTTAGGGAGCAAAGTATTGCAATTATTTACAGATTGGTATATGCACTAATGTTTGAAGAATACCATCCTCTTTTCTCTTGTCCTAAATCTTACACTGTATTATTGTTTTATTCACCAGTATTTTACCAAATCATTGAGCTTTTTTTGTTGTCACTTGAAGTATTTAGAGGAAAAAAAGGAAAATACGTATTTGAAAATCTGTTGGTTTTTTTTTTTATCTTCAGGAAAGCATTTTGAAATAAACTTGGGTAACCAAGAGGCATAAGGCTTTCTTTTCAACAAATAATACAGCTTTGAGAATTGAAAGATCTAAATCTGCTTCCAACATGTAATCAAGAGGATTGTAATTACTCCACTAATCCAAACCCCAGGAAATTTTAGCAAGAAAAACAATTACTTCACTTCCAAGGGTTTTCCCTTCTCTTTGTTTGCAAACTGAAAATTTGGAGAACTCTGCTTTTCAACTCTTTGGATCGTACTTAGTAATATGAAGCAAGTAAAAATCTGTAATTCAGATGTTCTTCCAGTTGACACCCTGGTATGACTGGAGGCTGGGGGCGAACAGCGTACTTAAAATACTTGATTCGCTATTTACTGTTTCAGTGACAAAGCAGTGGAAAAATACTGTACAAAATTATAACAGTTGAATGTCATGGCTGGACTCGATGATCTTAAAGGTCTTTTCCAACCTAAATGATTCTGTGGAAGTAGTTCAGTGCCAGCTTGCTACTGATGTGTAGTAAGTGATAAGGTGCTGTGTTGAAAGTGTGTGCTCTGGCAACAAACTTTTGTTTGTGTTACCACTTAAAGTTAACACCTGGCATGAATGTAAACTTATGCCCTCTTCTCTCTCAAATATTCAGGTAAATAATACATGCATGAGCAAACTGAATCCAGCAATTTTCTGAGTAAAGAGAATCCTCAAAGTAGCCAGATGCTGTTGAGGACAACTAACAGGAAATAAAAGAATGAAAACTTAACTTTGACGTACATTAATAGAAAGAATAGAAGAGATGAGACATGCAGGGAAAATACAGATGCATTTCCCTGATGAAAAGTCCCTACTGTTACTTTCCCGTTGTGGTATTATGGGTTGTACTTATGATTTAATTAGTTGGGGTTTTTATCTTAATTATCTAGTCTTAGTCCTCTTTGTATATTGAACTCTTCCCAGTTAGGAATTAATCACCTAAGAAAAACATTATTGTTGGTAATGTTCCTTGCTCAAAGCAAAGTTTTGAATTTAGGAACAAAAGCGCTGCTGAAAATCCATTGGATCTGTATTTGCAAAATCATATGCTTGCGAAGAATTTTTTGTTTACCAGTTGCTAGGTATATTGCTTGTTCTGGACGGCCACAAATAATCACTTTTCAATCAATGACAATAAATTACCTAGGCTTGAAAATAAATATATTCCTTCCTGTTTCTTACTTCTGTTAAAGTTTTTTTACCTCTTTCTTTACATGCTTCTGCCTCTCTCTTGCTTATCTTACAATATTCAGGAATATTCCAATAAATTTAATGGAATCAGAAAGGAATTGGCAAGAAAAGAGGTAAGACTGCAGTCTAAGGAGTGTTTATATTTGGATCCATAAATCTCTGCAGCAAAAAGTTAATATTTACCTAGATGTATAAAGCTGCAAGAGTATTAAGATCTACACTAGTTTTGGAAGAAACTGATTTCTGTCTGAATTTGTAAAGCCAGTACTTGCTTTCAGTAGGAATTTTGATAGGACACAACTCTCTGTGATCACTAATTATTCTAGTTTTTTAATTTTTTTGTTCAGTAGTATTGTTTAATTATTTTCTATTATTTTGTATATTGAACAGATGCTCAAGAAGGCTATTAATAATGTCCGAAGAATGGCTTCTCATCCAACATTAAAATATTGTAAGTTCAGTTTTGTTAAAAAAAGAAAAAATTTATATAAAGATTATATGTTTACTTACTGGCTCTGTTTCTTAATGTGGTGCTATTTTGTACTAGCACAGCAATCCATTATATGTTTTGTAAGTTGCTTATAAGCCCTGTTTTACTGAAAAATTACTATTTTTCATTTCCAAATTTTTCATTTCCAAAATTACTATTTTTCATTTCTGTATCTGGGGATACAGAATACCCTTTAGAAATAGTGATATATATATTTTTTTAATACCAAAACATACTGTATTTCTGTTTTACTAGTGACTTGGATGAAAGATAGTAGGAAAAGAAACATTATTAACTCCAAGGGAATAGCCTTATATTTCAGTACTCTCTCTAAACACAATTCCTATTGAACTTCCTTCCTCATTAGTTAATTAAGGTTTGAATAGCATGGGTTTAAGTTTCAGTGGTACCCACTACTCCTACAGTATGCCAGGTACTATGGCACATATTGTGGCACTAATTATTTTGAGGATGTGTGAGCTGGTGTGAGATTTCTTAAAATTTTGGCCGTAATCTTCCTGCTCAAATGCTGCACCACCTATGAAAAGTCATGTAAATATCTTCTGTTGCAGACCTGACAGGTGCACAAGATGGTAGTGTAAGAATGTTTGAATGGGGTCATGCGCAGCAAATCACATGTTTTCGGTCTGGTGGCAACTCAAGGGTAACTCGAATGAGATTCAATTACCAAGGAAATAAGGTAACTGACAGAATGTTTCTGTACTTCCCGTCTTCTCTCCCTTCCTCCCCAATATAATTGTAAATCAGAGGAAACATCACTTTCTTAAAATCTGAAGTAGTTTCTCTGAGTTGTGGATAATTTCTGTGTAATATGTATGTATGTATTTACGACTAATATATCTTTTTTCAGTTTGGAATTGTTGATGCTGATGGGTATATAAGTTTATATCAAACAAATTGGAAGTGTTGCCCGCTTACTGGAACTTCACCTAAACCATATTTGGTAAGTTGAAAACTAAATTTGCTGCCATGAACTTGTGTTGTGCTAATTTCCTTCACTCTTTAGAATAGTTAGGAGAGGGCAGGGAGTGTGCTGATAACCAGTACTAATCAAGATTTAATAATATATTGTTGCCATCTTGTGATCCGTATGACAGAAGTTCTTAAATCCTAATCATACTTAGTATATTATAGAGTAGAAAATGCTATGTTAGATGTGAAATAACTTTAGTGTTCTTTGAGACTTTTCAATAATTGTCAGTTGTGAATTAATTGTCAATGATGCAGGACTGTAAAGTATACTTCCATTAAAAATTAAGAGTATCAGAAGTCATGCGCATACCTTTATATCCTGTGCTTCTTAAATTGTTTTTGAAACAGCTCACCTTCTTGAGGATGTTTAATATTTCAAACTTACTCAAAATCCATTTCTTTTTCAATTAATAATTTCTAAACTGCAATTTTTCAGACCTGGCAGTGTCATAACAAAACAGCCAATGACTTTGTTTTCATCAGTTCATCATCTTTGATAGCCACAGCAGGATTGTCTTCCGACAACAGGTAAGAACTGCTGTGATAATGCATAAAATGGAAGTGCCTGCCATGTTTTCTCTCCTTCCCCCTTGATGATTCTTCTTAAGCAATTGAAGAACAACATGTGTACTTCTGCTCTCTTTGCTTCTCTCTCCCTCCCACAAAGAAAGAATGTTTACAGCTAAATTCCATGTGCCTATTAAAGGAGATTCCATAGGGAAGAAGAAATCCTCTGTTCATGTTCCATGTGAGGAGAGGAAGTGGAGAGGGAGGTGCTTCTCCCTGGTATCCAGTGACAGGGTGTGTGGCGATGGCTCAAAGCTGTGTCCGAGGATGTTCGGACTGGACATTAGGAAGCATTTCTTTACTGAGAGCATGGACAAACACTGGAACAGGCTTCCTAGAGAGGTGGTTGATGCCCCAAGCCTGCCAGTGTTTGAGACATTTGGACAATGGCCTTAATAACATGCACTAACTTGCGGTCAGCCCTGGATTGGTCAGGCAGTTGGACTGGATGATTGTTGTAGGTCCCTTCCAACTGAAATGTTCTGTTCCATTCTATTTGTATGAGCCTGTCTAAAATTTTTTTCCTAGGCAAAGGGTGTTGTGCATAGCTCTTCACACTTATTTTCTTACAGAAGTTTTGATCAAGAAGTAGCAAAAATTACTAACATTTGGGTGAATTCAGCTACAAAATGGTGTAATCTTAATATGAATCGTTTATGAGAATAATCAGTTATAAAGTGATTGTGTAGAGGGCATGTATAATTATGAAAGTAATTTGGGTTCTGCTGACAAGTAATCATTGAAAGTCTGTTTACAGTGCTTTCATGCCTGAAACAATCTGTGTAAAGTTCAGAAAAAGCTTTTTGAACACTTGAAAAGTTAAAACATTTCTTGCTGAATCAGAACATATTTTTTCTACAGAAATATTTGTCTTTGGGATACTTTGGTTTCACCTACAAATAGCTTGGTGCAAGGTAAGTAAAATACAACCAGCAAAATTTTTGGTCACGGTAAAAAATGTGTATGTCTGTCTTTATGGAAACGTTATTGTGAAAAGTAATTTTAATATTAGCAGTAAAACATCTTTCACACAAATGATTTAGTCCTATATATAAATGATTGATTTCATGGACATGAGCACCTGCCTTTGCATACCTTGTATCTTTGCACCACAAGTGTAAGCCAGACAGCTGTAATTTCTGTTCCTTTTTAAAAGATTCTGAGCAAATCCTGCTTGTGGTGACTAGCATGTTGAGAAGACAATAGCTGTAACACTGTCTAAACTACAGTTCTTAGCAGTTACGAGATACATATTTGCAGAATATGCATCCACACCCTTTAAGGTTCCTACGGCTGTCTCTGTACTCGTAAATCGGAGAGGCCCCACTCAAAATTTGTGGATTGTTAGACCAAATAATGGTACTACAGAGATAGCATTGGGCGCTTGCAGATGCATTATCTATTTGGAGAATATGAGAGGACATGCTTTTCATAAACTGTTAAGTATTTCATTGCCTCTGTGAAAATCCTCTCCTCAGAGAAACCATGATTATAAAATGGTTCTGTGGAGGTATGTATATGAATAAAGACAACGAATTTTGTAGAAAATATTAATTGGTTTTTATATTAATATATTGAACAAGCAGATGTGCAGATAAGATCTTACAACTATGTAGTATTTTCAGAGTTGAAGTAATAGATTAACTTACTGCTACATTTGTAAAGTAGTACATTCTTACTTTCAAAGATTGTCCAGTTCTGTGACACTTTTATTCTATGTATTAATGCCAAATACTGTGGAATGTTTTAAATGCTATCTCTGTGTGCGTGCATGTATAGATATCTACATCTTGTGGTATTACAAAAATGCTTTAGAATAATTATTCCTGCAAGTATGCTTTTTGAGACAGTATAATAAGTATTTAGCGAGGTTTCATTAACTGTATTACTAATATTCCGTTGCAGTGGAAAAGAAATACATTTCAATACCTGAAATACAGAATGAGGCTCAGAGAGAGGAGTTGTGAACTCCTTGTAATTGAAGTGTGGTGAATGCTTAAATATATGCGAGAAACGTGTAATTTCTAAATGTAAATTTAGAGAACCCTTTGAACTACAATATGCTACATGCCACATGTTAGGATTCATAACATCTAGTCTCAAACATACTGAGCTTTTTTCTGATAGTTCATTCACTTCCTCCGCTCGTTTCGGGGAGTAGATGTATCTAAACAAATGTGAAAAGCAGCAGAGTAAAAGTAAAATAACCAAAGGAAACTTACAAGATAGTTGGGCAAATAATTTAGGAGGACATTTCTTATAGGAAACACATGCCTTAAAATAACAAGCATTAGAGAGTTTGAAAATAGTCTGTTTCTCATCACGGCTTAATAGTTTGCAATTACACAGGGACGGAAAGGATATACATTTTTTTCATAGAGATTGCAGCTGCTTAATTTGACAATACTGCAACTTCAGGATGTTTGATGTGAACCTGGGTTTACATATATATGATACTGCCACAAAGGGACTGGTTGTGTTCAGTTGGGTTACAGTATCAAAGTCACTGTCTTGAACCATTAGAGGTTGATGGAAAATGAAAGTCAGTACTGTGAGATTGAAGTTAGTACCGTGTGTTGATTTAAATTACTTTGCTTTGGTTTTCAGCTTTTATCTGTCATGATAGTGGGGCAACTGTGCTAGCGTATGCTCCAAAACATCAGCTGTTAATATCTGGAGGCAGAAAAGGCTTTACATGTATAATCGATCTTCGCCAAAAACAGCAGCAGCAGTTACTCCAGAGTCATGACTCTCCAGTCAAAGCAATTGCTGTTGGTCCTACAGAAGAGTATTTTGTCACAGGATCTGCTGAAGGCAACATAAAGGTATTAATGAGGGGGAAGGAGGGAGAGATGAAGATAGTGATGATGTGTAAATTCAAAAGAATCTTGCATAGGTGTGGAGTAATCAGATATGTCATACATTCTGCATTTGTTCTCAATCGTGACTTTCACATTTACTAATTTTATTATGAAATGTTAGTCTTACCTTGCAGTCCTTGTTTTAGTTAGTCTTACCTTAGTCCTGTTATTCCCCCAATATTCCTTACTGTAGAAAATTAATATTAATATTCTATAACTGTATCATTACAGATTGCTACATATCTTTTCTTTTACAGTTAGTGTCAGAAAAAATGAATGTAAAATGTAGCCCAGTTTCACCATGACTCATTATTGGCAAATTATAAGATCATGGTAGTTATGCTTATAAGAAATTGATGTTTGATGCTTTTTCAGGTATGGAGTTTGTCTTCGTTTCATCTTCTTCACACTTTCATCAATGAGCATGCTCGACAGTCTCTCTTCAGAAACATCGGGACGGGAGTCATGCAAATTGAGACAGGACCAGCAAATCACATATTTTCCTGTGGTGCTGATGGAACAGTAAAGATGAGAATCTTGCCCGATGGATTTAGCCCTTTAAATGATGTGTTGAAAAATGATGTGAAGCTTATGATCTAATATGTTTCTCAAAACAGTCTATAATGTTCCCCTTCTGCCGTCCCTGAAAATATTTTTCCTGCAACTAGCCAACAAAGCAGATACACAAAGATAGCTTGTGCCACAAAGATGCTTCCCCCTCCCGCCCCCCCATATATATTGCCTGGAGCTTTTAGTCCCTGATGCACTGATGCCTTAAAGATTAACAAGGTCCTTCAGATTTTGATTGTTGCCTAAAATAAAAGCTATACATGACTCCGAATTATATATTTAGAATATTATTAAGATGTTACTGAAGTGATTTACTCTTCCTTTTGAGGTAGTTACGCTCCCACCTGGAGTGTACCATCTGGGCATGGCCTCTGCTTATATTCAACACCTGGCCACCTTCTAAAAGCAGATGTGTCCAGATGGAAACCTTAGATAATGTTACTTTTTCACTGTGGCAACCATAACTGTCTCTCTTCTAGTCAGCTAACAATAAAAATTTATACGTATGTATAGAAGAGAAACAAAGCCTGTGTGAGTAGATACTCCTGGCCATGCAAGCATTCATGTGATGAGCCACTGTCTGTCTCCATTCCTGGAATCCAGGCTGTTTACCTCTCTAACTTGCCTAATCTCCTTCCTCTGATCTAGGGTATAAGAAACTGAGTATGTTCTGTAACTTGTCTTCTGTTCTATAGCTTGAATCACTGCCATCAGGATGGCAGGCTTACCTTTTAAAAAGAAATATATTTTTAACCCTGAACACTCCCTTTACAAAAATATGTAAATATTAATGGATATCTTCCTATAAAACAGTCAAGATTGTGTGACGCTTTAGTCTTGATCAAAGAGATACAGGAAGATACTGCTTTAGGATATGGCACTAGAATTTCTTCAGAGAATATTTATTTACATGTCTGTAGAGGAAAAAGACTAATTTATTTTTACAATTTTTTCCAGTAAGACTTTTATTTAGCCCAAAGATACTCAGTTCATTCTTAGCACTTATGTTCTTGTTTGTCTGCATTTCCTAAGTACTTTAAAAAAGGAAAAAGGTAAAAAGTTAAACAGCAAAGTACTTTAATACTTTCCAGTCTTTGTACTGTATGTTTACATCTGGTGTAAAATAAAAGAAAAAGATTTAAAAAGGATAGATTTTTTTTTGCCAAAATATTAAACTGCATAACTTAAATATTTGACCAAACTGTTAATGCACAAAGCCTTTACATTGTTTTTTTTTTTTTAGTCAGCTAAAACCTATTTCTGTAAGTATTTTGGTTTACTTTTTCTGACTTGAGAGCTTGGCAGAGGTTTAATTTGTAAATTACATGTGAGAGTGGATTACTTGAATGCCAATGGTGTATTTTTTGCTAAAAGATATTTTGTGAAATATTGCACCAAGATATTAACTGTAAAATAAACTTGTCAAATTAGGAACTATGGGGATAAATAAAGCATAGCAGAAACGAAGGGCTTGCAAAACGAACTTTGTAACATTCTCAGGATGCTTTTCTCTTAAGAATATAAAATTGTTTAAAAAGATTTTGTAAAAATGTATTAAGGTCATTTTAAATGTATGTTTCGCAAGTTGCAGTGCAAACACTATGAAGGTTTTTATGCACATAACCTGAATTTTCAAATTGTGCAATAAAAAGAATGTGAATATTTTGCCATGAAGAAACATATGACAGCATTTCAAACTGGTACAGCTGTTCAGTGATTCAGTTGTAATTGTTCTTCCACAACACTTACAGATTGAATTCAAAATTGATATCAAACAGTTTAAGTACAGTGATGGACCAGAAAAGTGACCGACTGAAAGTGACAACACCTTACTAAACAGACTTGCCCGATGCTCGGTGACTGAGTTTCTAATATTCCTTATTCTTACGAAAGAAGGAGAACGATGGGGTTAACAGTAGCACACTCCTTGAGAATCCACTGAAACCCTGACTTTGTAGCTGCTTATGTACATGCATTAGTTTTGTGCACCCACTGAACTAACAAAGTTACATTCATAAAAGGAAAATGTGCAAAAATCATGGCAACATTATAAAATTGTATCCTTGATGTTTTGTCCTGAAATATTTATATCTCATTAGCTTTAATATTTCAAGCTCAGTTTATTGTACTGGCAGTCACAAAAAGCTGTCCTGTCATCTGCGAACTGAGCAGATTTTATATGTAATTTGTAAAGACATGCAATGTTGTCATTTTTATGAGTAGAGCTACACTATGAATAATCCTGGCAAATTTAATGCTTGTACCAAAAAAGTACTGACTGTGAGCAGGCATCTTCAATAATGTTTATAGTTACCATAAGCTACTTTCAAAACTGAATTATGTGAAATCACAATGTATTTGCCACACCTTCATAATCTAATAAATCCTGAGAAACTCAAACTTCTCGAATTCCACGTTGCTGCTACTTCGTTTACAAATCAGTTATTTGCTTGTATAATGTTCATTGATGTTTAGCAATTACTGTAAGTCAGATTATCAGTAGCTGTCTTGTAATGATGGAATCAAAATCAGTTAACTTCTGTTGTATCTGAAATTCTAAGGGGACGCTCTCAACTTCAAATCTAGTCATTGGGGCAAAAATGAACTCCAAACTCTTCCAGGTGTTGCCCTTAACTTCCACTGTCTTTTGTCCTCCAGCAACTAATGCTTTCTCCCTGTTGCTGTGCAAGTTACTCAGACAGAAAGACAGTAGTGGCTACCCAGGGTTTTGTGCTTGCCGTAGCCACATGCACAAATGGAACTTAAAATCTGCATTTACCAGTGCTTAATCAACAATATTCCATGTCCAGACAAAAGTAATTCACTTGTAGTTGACAGTGTCCCTTTTAACTATCATAGACTAGCAGTTGTGACTTGTGTTTGTCTGTAGCAATGCATAATGCAATCAGAGTGCGTCATTCTTGTGTTGCTAATTGATTCAGTTACCTCAAACAGATACATGATCCAAGCTCTTTACTATTACTTTAGTAACCTGTGAGAGTTAAAACTGGCCATCTGGGTACTTAAACTGGCTTGCTGTGTGACGCTTAACCAGAAACTTCTCAGCTGACAGCTGATGTTGCCGGATGTTTTTGTAGAAAGATGGAGTGTGGGATAGATGCTGATTTTGTGCCACGCTGCTGCGGCGCAGGGTGAGCTGACACATGTTGTGCTGGGTTTTAGGCACCTTGCTACCAGTTCAGGAAATGAACTGGTGAGATACCGTATGTTAGGTACCACTCCCTTCCTCTCAAGAGCACCCAGTGTTAGATTAGTTGCAATAGGTATGAAAAAAGCAACAGTGATTGAAAGGAGATAATCTTGGAGATGATACGCTCTCCAAAATAACTTTTTCAGACCCGCCTCTAATGGCAGGTTCAGCACAGTGATCAAACTACTTTCTATAAAATAAAGATATTGATTTACCAGGTTTCTTGGTGTTTGTTATTTCTCACAGTTTCTAGCTCTAAAATTTGTATGGTTTTGATCTTTCTCCTTTCCTGTCTTTTTTTAATGCCTTCGTTTTTCATTCCTTAGCTTTCTTTTATTAGCTCTTTGATGTTTGGAGGGGCGGAGTTGTGTGTGGCTTGTGGTTTTCTTTAATTCAGTGCATAACTGTATTTCTCGGCAGGATGAGGTTTTGCCGTGACAGCCATTTTCTTCCACAACTAACTTTTTTTTAGCCGCTCGGCTGTTTCATTTGGGCTTGGAAACTCCACCCCTGGAACAGACACCAACAGGAGTGCCCCAGACCAGGGTGCGCACCAGAATTGCCAAAATTAAGTGCCAAAATTAAATCGCCTCAACGTACAGCTCAGTGTAACGAACACACCCCC